TTAGAATTTATTTATTTTACTTACTGTTACTACCAACTGATATTAGATGAAGGGGGATATTAAAAGTAGTTATATAGCGTTAATCAATATGACTATCATATCAATATGATTTATAATTTTGAAAATATAAGCAGCGCCTTAACTATTCCGCCTAATACTAAGTGGTAATAATCCTAGTAGTTCCTCGATGTTAGTATAATCATGATTAACAACAATATTATAAGTTCTAAATGCACAGTATCTCAAGAACGTATGCTAAACAATCTCTAATCAATCTTTCAATGTCAATATGACATTGAAAGTAGGGTGACCAAACTTCTTCTTCTGGTTCCTATCCGCTTCGGATGTTGGAAATCATATTGGCAATCATAACCTTGCTCGCTGCGGCTCGAAACAGCTCCGTTGAGGTTTTCTTAAACCATGTTCTTAAATTCCGCAGCCATGATATTCTCCTTCTACCGGGTCCTCGCTTACCTTTGACTTTACCTTGCAATATAGACTGTAGCAGGGAGTAACGGTGCTGATTTCTCATAACGTGTCCCAGATATTGCAATTTTATGCGTTTGATCGTAAACACAATCTCTGGTTCCTTCTTCATTTTTCCTAGAACTTCCTTGTTCGTGATCCTTGCTGTCGATGATATTCTCAGCATTCTTCTATAAAGCCACATCTCAAATGCTTCAAGTTTTTTAATAGTGGCGTCTGTAAGCGTCCATGCCTCCGCCCCGTACAACAACACAGAGAAAACATAGCATCTCAAATGTCTCATTTTTGTATCAAGGGATATGTTGTGACTTTTGAAGATGGCGCTTATTTTGTTAAAGACCGTTCTTGCCTTTCCTATGCGGCACTTTATTTCCTGTAAATTGCTCCACTGTTCGTTAATAATAGTTCCCAGGTAACAATCCTGTTTTACTCGCTCTATCTGCGTCCCATTATGATTAATGTATATATGAGTCCCATTTATATTCTCCAAATATGACCAAACTACACAACAATATTCCAAGATGGATCTTACTAGGCAACAATAAACTAATCTGGTTAATTTATCTTTCATCTAAAATAACTTCTGAGTCTTTAATGGAAGAGACATACTTAGGAGGTTACTCATCAATGAAATAAGTTATACCAATTTTGTTTACCTTTCGAGAATAACTGATGTAACAACACTTATTAACATTTAAATTAAGACTATTCCTACTATTCCAATGGTATAAATGATCAAGATCAGCTTGTAAAGACAACTGATACACGGCGGAGACATGACCTGACTCTTCTAAAACGAGACCACTACTAGAAACAGAGATGGAAATTCTCCGACGAATATCAGGGAAAAGTCTGTTGGATAGGGAGAGAAGCGAAAACATAAGAAGAGCATGCAATATAGAAGACATAAATCGATGAGTGACAAAACGGTAAAAAGAACGGAACGAACACATTAGTAAAATGGCAGAGGATAGGATAGTACGAATAGCACGAGATAAGTCATCAAATGGACGAAGAAGTATTGGCAGACCAAGAAAATGATGGTGCGATAATTTAAACAATTTAAAAGGCTAATATTGAAGAAGAAACAGGCTTTAAAACCTGCATACAAGAAGGAAGAAGAAGAAGATCTTTATAAGGAGATCAAATTGTTTGGTACGTAGACCACCTACATTTTGGTAGTATACAGTTACTGGAGTATAGACTCATTTTTTTGTATAGCTACCACTACGGTGGGTAAACTACTAAGGTAACGAATAATCAAGAACACCTCATCAGCAGATACTCTTTCCATTATCTCTTTTTAGCAGTTGCAGCAGCGTACACATCTTATTTCATTTTTGTCTGGTCCTTGAGATAATAATAACTGATCTCTAAAATCTTCCATAACCCTCCAGAACTTTAAGTCATCAGCAAACATTAAACACTGACTGTTTAAAAAACAGCTCACAATAGCCTTAACAAATATGTTGAAAACAATAGGTGATGTGTGTCGTCCCTGCGGAACACCTGAAGTGACCAATATTAACTCTTAAATATTACCAGCCACCTTAACTCTTCGACTACAACAATGAATTTTTAAGCCAGTTAACAAACTGAGCATGGAATCTCACAGAAAGTAATTTTGCAAGAATTTGATGACCAAAACGATTAAATGGTTTATTGAAATCGGTATATATAGCATCCACCTGCAACTAAATTAGTAGCTGCAGATTTTCTTGCACGAAAACCTTGCTGATACTGAGAGATAAGTGCACTGCACAACCAAGATTGCTCTTTACCTATAAAATTATCAAATAATTAAGATATTGCAGACGTAATGTATATACTACGATAATTTTCAATGTTTTCTTTCTGGCCACATTTGAGTATCAGTACAACAAAACTCTCATTCCAAACATCAGGAGATAAAAAGACTATAATGAGATAGGTATTAAATAAAGTATGTATTGGTATGGTAACTTACAGCGTAAACATATTTTTTAAAATAAAATTGGAAACACCATAGGTCTAGAGGTAATCTTATTTGGAAGAGAACTTATGCAATCAAAAATATCAATGAGAATGATTTCAGAGACATAAGTTGTGCCAACTTTGTTATTGATGAAGATTTGGGAATCTAAAGGTTATTAACCCCACTGGTTTAGACAATTTGAAATAAGTCCTTAAAGAAATTTGCAATTTCTTACCCATTAGAAGCAGACTGATCCCTGTAAAAAAACAGCATTTGGCGAACTACGATTGTAACGGTTATCATTAAGATACTCGCAAAACGATATATGATTGTCTTTCTACTGAGTATCGATACCTGTTACTAAATGTACACAATAATGTGCACATTAATTGAAGCATATATCAGAAAAACGTTTGCATTTTGTCCTAATAAGACAAAATTTACTTTAATTAGGATCAGTATGGTATTTCATGTACAATGACTTAGCTTACCTTTTCTCACATGTCAAAATTCTAAGTACATGTGAAAACCATTTACGAAAAGTCGATGTTCTGTATCTCTTTAGAGGTATAATGTAGAAAATTCCTTGTGAAAGAATTTCATAAAACATATAAGTTAAAACATTATCATTGTAAGCCAATCCTGCCAAATAATAGAGCCTAAAAAGTTATAAGTTCAGTGTAATTGCCATTTTAAACATCAAAAAAAATTTCCCATAAGCTAGTCTTGACGAATTACATATATTTGAGATTGTTAAATAACATTCATATGCAATATGATATGATATAAACTTGAGTTCAGTAGAGAATCACTCGCTTTTACAACATTCAGTTCCCTAAATAAAATTTTAGATAATCAAGTGTTTAAGCAACATCCACAGCTGGATCTCCTCTTGGGCAATGGGTCAATACACCATACTCATCATTATACCATAATCCTTTCGGTAAATTGTAGTCACTAAATATATGGAATATTAACTGAGGGGAATAGCCGAACAATATTTTCAACGGAGTGGCAGTGTTGGATAGAAGACTTACGAGGTATTTGAGGAGGGGTATAAACACCCCTATAACAAATTCAGACCCACGGATCTGGCATAAAATGTAAAGTTGGTCTATGCGATCTTCAATAAAAGAAATAAAGTTGTGTAAGTTAATTTCGACTAAAATAATTATTATATCATAAGAGCAGCACGAAATACTTTTTTAAGGAGGTTGGTAGGTAGTCCAACTATATGTTGGTAGTATACAGTTACTGGGATGGAGACTCCTTTTTTGTTTAGCTACTACCACGGTTGGTATACTCCATTCCACGAATATACGACTGTTTTAAATTCGCTTTAAGGTGTCGATTTAAATGGTCCAATGTACTGAATTGTACAATAGTAAATTCTCCCCATTTTTAAAATACTGTTACGACAGATATAAACCTTAGATTTAAATATGAAGTCATGATATAAATATAAAGTTAATAGTTTATAAAACAGTTATAATTCAGATATTGAAGTATATAATTACTACCATGGAGTTTATTTTTTCATTTCAATTATTTCATTGTAAACAAGTTGGTTTTTGAATTAAGTGATTTAAACGAAATGTAACAATACTTAAGTGATCAAATAGTGTAAATTTTTTAGTCGAATATTCAAATAATTAAAAAAAAAAACAAAAAAAACTTACCTATTCACTTATTCTCTTAATATTCTAAAACGATCAGATTCACAGCCATAATCAGTCGGCGATATATGAAACTGTATATACATTTTCGTTACTTTTTAATATCTGTAACGACTCGGTACTTTAACTATCAATAGCATGTATGTTATACCCGTTACTTTCGGAACTTTTAAGAGTACATAAACTCAAAGCAAACAAATATTTAAAACTAACAAAGTGAAATATTAGATTCTTTTTCTGGTTTGTGAACCATCGTTCTGCCAATTTCTTTTCATTTATATTAAAAATAGTATATTTCTTTTTATTACAGTTATAATACCTAATAAAGTAATAAAATGTGTTATATCAAAGAAACCCGGCACGCCTCTTTGGTGTTTACATTTCACGGAAAGCTTACCCAAATGTCTGATGAACACATTTGTCTTCATAGGCGTCATTGTATTCATTTGTAGATTGAAATAATTTTAGTTTAGATGTCATACTAGTAGACCCATTTTATTGGAATAATGATTTGGCCAATTGACCTTCATACTTCTACTTGCACAGTAAAATATTCATTGTCGCAGTAAACCAAAACAGTCGTATATTCGTGGAATAGCCTAAATCAAGTACACCTTTCCAGCAGATATTCTTTTAATTAATTCCTTTCTAGTAGCCGCAGCCTTGTACGCATCTTGTTTCATTTGTGTCTGGCCCTTGGAGATTTTGAATGTGGTTCCACAAAGTTTACCTCCAGATATAAGCCCTAATTTAACTGCGGTATCATTACATAATGCCAATTATACGTTTGATAGCCTATTCTGATCTGAGGGTTTGCTTACTCATATAACTCGACTTATAGTAACTTTATTATGCTACAAACGTCTATTCAAAATCTCACTTACTTTATTTACTATCACAATCAATACGGTCATTGTGATTGGTTGAGTTGCATTCAGGAATATTGTATATCGTAAAATTATGAGGTCTTTCTATGCACTAGACTTCATAGTTAACAGCACTGGATGTATTTTTTGTGTTATTGCCTTCCTAAGACACAATCTTATTATTTAGTATAATTATTTCTTCTTTTAACTTAACAATTTTCGGAACAAATATTAGAACACTTTTCCAGAATCCAGTAGCGCACCTAGAATTCTCCTCTGGGGGGGGGTTTGGTTGGGCACCGAAATTTTTTTATGCTACCTCCGCCATTTTAAGTACTTAAAATGTGTGAATGACAGTGTCAGAATATGGTCCTGGGGGGTTTAACCCCCAAAACCACCCTGGGTGCGCCACTGCCAAAATCCACAACATCTTTCTACCAAGTAAAATTTAGTTCTTTCGTACTAGAGTTTTTTGCGAAAAGCCAAATATTGCTTCTAAATGGTTATACTTTTTGAGGTACTATATGAAAAATTATTATAAAGTTAGAGCCCATTTTTAGTTGGTTTTTTAGACGAATCTTGAATATTTTTAAAAGGGTCGTATAAACCGACATAATATGGCAAAATGGCAATATAAAGAGCATCAGAAAAGATGACGAAAATACTGGTAGTCGCTTCATTGTTTTACATGTTGGAGCTTATCTGTTTTGTTGAAGATGCTGGACTGCTATTTTCCACCAAATTGAAGAGTGCAGACTCTCATGAATAGATGGATAAGGAGTCTTTAAAAAAATTGGTCATTGAAAAGTTCATACCAAAAGTTCAGCAAAAGGTTCTCTGACAGAAAACATTTTTTAGGTAAAAAAAAGCTAGAAAAACAAGGGTAGTATTGTTGTTTTTGGTTTGTAGTTTTTTTTAGGCTGAATTTTATCTAATAACCGTTTTGTCGATAAAATGTAAAATTTTTGAAATATTATTATTATTTGAGCCCGATCACCAAATCGCTATTTATTAGAGAAAATAAACTTTTTTATAAAAAAATAAGAATTTTTTAAAAAACAATTTCAATAACTATCAAAAGTAATAACCATTTATCAACCAAATTTTTGGGGGTTTTACAGAGGTATCATAACACAACTTTTTATGCATCGAGAATAATAATACATTTTTGTTGTTTATTGAAAATTTTCGAATTATTTTAATAAATACGTATGAAATGTAACTCAGCAAGCATTTTTTGTATTTATTTAATTATCCCATTATTTTAAATGTTTCTTGTTTTCCAATGTCACTTTTATTTATCTAAAGTTTCGTTTTAAAAAAAACTAACTTGAATTTTTTTTATGATTTACGCTTATTGAAATTTTATTTGATATGGCTTCTGAGAACAAAAGTACGGGTTAGCTACCCCATCAAATATTTTGAGCATAAATATTTGTATTATTCTTGAGTTAATTTAAGGTACAATTTTTTTATTTAATAGGCAACATCACTAAACAGTAGTTTATTAACTAAATTATATTCCAATGTTAAAGGTTAAATGACTTATGTTAATAAATTGTCAAATGTTTTCCGTTAACCCTTTGATAATAAAAAAGTCTATTTTTTATTTCTCCTTTGACATTTCTGGTATAATCAAGCACATGTCTCTGTTATCCGCTGCTGTTATGCAGGCCATTCACGTTCTGACTTGCGGTCCCACTTAGTAGTAGTTGGATATTTGTCTCTACTCACGCTCCGACTTGCTATCCAACTAGCGGTCCAACTTCAGTTCAACGCCAAATAAATTTAATTTCTAACTAATATTCACACTTATTTCTCAATAAAATAGTAAATTTGCATAAATTATGTCTAATTTCAATATAACTATGATTTAATTTTGATCTTGATGGTCCAGAGATGGTCAGCTTGGAAGGTCCGACTTGCGACTGGCAACGAAGTCAGAGCGTGAATGGTGAAGTTGGAAGTCGGATCACAGGTCGAATCAAAAATTTCGTCAGTCAGTTAACCTTCGGCACCTGTTGCGTATGAGATTTCTATGAAATACTTTACGCAAAGATCTTTCAATTTTCTTTCAAGATTTCAATTGCACGAAAATTACCTTTTTGTTAGTGCAAATCATTTTCCTTTCTGTAGTTCTATTTCGGGAATTCCCATACAAGTACAATTTTCAACACTCCAGATAGGCTACGGAAGAATTATCAACAAACGACGAAAATTCAATCATAGTTGTACTGAAATTAAACGTAACTGTTCCCTTATATTTTTCTGAAGTTATTTTCTTGTGGCATCTTATGCAAATTTACTATTTTAATTAGAAATAAGCCTGAATATTAGTTAGAAATTAATTTTTATTTGACGTTGAACTGAAGTTGGACCGCTAATTGGATAGCAAGTCGGAGCGTGAGTGGAGACAAATATCCAACTATAGTAGTCCTACTACTAAGTGAGACCGCAAATCGAAACGTGAATGGACTGCTTTAGAGTAGAGGCCATAAACATTATATAAATAATTTCATTTGAAATAAATTCGCTAAAATTAAAAAAAAAACACCGTTCAGTTACAAAATATTTTCCATATTAAATCACTCTTTACTTTTTTCTATAATTCCGTTAATTTAAGTGATGAATAATCTTTGTTTCCAACATTTCTAAATAGAGAGATTATTACTTGAAATTTAGTGTGAGATTGGCGAATTACTTGCCAAACATTTTGTCTGTTAACATTCAAAACTTTGCCAATATCGACTTTAAATAATGTCTGTCAAACTGACGACTCCGGTATGGTTATTTTTACCGGCACGTAATAATTTCGAATATGACTGACTGATATTTTAAAAAACACACTAAACCAACATCAAAACAGGACCACAAAAAATCAAATTTAGAATAGTTATATGATTTTCATTTATATGATTTATTTATTTATATGATTAAATGACTTTAGATTTTACATAACATTTGCTTAAAAATTCCTGACTTCATTTTTATTTAAATCGTCTAATAGACAATGGACCTTTGATATGAGTTATCAATCGACCCCGAAGATATTATCTTAAGGTATTAGTAAGGCGGGAACTATTATTATACTCGGTTCGCTGATCCCAGTCCCAACTATTTAGTAAAATTAGTAATTATTTTTTTGCGACGTTATCGAAATTTTGACCGACTGGAATTGGCTGGCAATGCAGCACACGTGCTCATAGCCAATATTAATTGTCACTTACAGTAAAAAAATTAACATGAATTTTAGTAACAGAATAAAACTGTAGGTATAAATTGAAATAAAAGATTAAATATTTATTTTTTCGCACTTGCAAATGAAAAGTTTTTATTGAAAGTTAATGAATACACACTCCCATTTTATTACTGTTATTTTTTCATAAATAAAGGCGGCAGCAGTAAGTTTGTTTTCGCTATTAACAGTGAGATGTAGGAATTTTTGTGTTGTATGTTTTCGACAGTGGTGAATCTGTCCAAATATTACGAAGATGAACGAACCGAGTATAACACTAAATTATTACACTATACACTATATTAGTAAAGATCGTTTCCAATTTCTTTTGGAAGTGTATAATTATAAAACTATAACAAAAACAGTTATATTAGAGCGACTTTCAGTTTTTTGTTATTAAGAGGAACATAAAATTTGATTGAAATGACTATATACAAAGCGAACAGGATATAGTCTTGCCGCAAACTGTTTTATTTAATGACAAAACATTATTTCCAACATTTATCGCCCTGCAAACATCAAAATTTATGTTGAGCCATTCGTATTGTAGCAAAATTGCAGTTATCACGATCGGCATCAAATAGATTTACAAGTCATTACAAGTCGACCGTGAAGGAACGCATTAACCGCTCGTATTTTTGTAATTTTTGTCTTTGTATGTAAACAAAGACGCGTGCCGTTACTATTATTTATTTATTAAGACATCTTGATGTAGTCAAAGCTGTGACAGTAATATTTATCATTTTCATTGTTGATTGATGTGATACTTTATAGAAATTTTGTCCTGGTTTTAAAATGTATTAATGTTTCTCATTTGTTATGTAATACTTCTTTTGTTGTGATAATTTCATTGGTGTATTTTAATAATAAAATTCTATAGGTACCATGTATAATATTATACGTATAGTAAACACTCCTTTTCCCCAACTAAACACTAATTTCTGAACCATAAAGCCGTGATTAAGTATGTATTAAAATTTTGGGCAACTAGACCAAGACACACATTTTGTAATTGTAATATTATCATGCAAGTAATACTTCTTCTTCTTTGGGTGCCGTCTTCAATGAAGGTTGGCGATCATCATCATTCAGCCCATACTCGTCCACTGCTGAACATAGGCCTCCCGTAGTTCACCCCACAAATTTCTGTCCTGAGCCGCCTGCATCCAATTTTGTTGTGTCCGTTTCAGGTCATCCGTCCATCTTGTTGGTGGTCGTCCTCTATTCCTAAAGGCATCTTGTCTGGGTCTCCACTCAAGAATGCGTTTTGTCCATCTGCCGTCCTTCGTTCTCGCGACGTGCCCTGCCCAGTTCCATTGTAAGGTTGATATTCTTTTGATTGCGTCGGTTACTCCCGATCTACGGCGCAATTCTGTGTTGGGTATTCGGTCTCTCAGGGTTAATCCCAACATGGACCGTTCCATTGCCCTCTGTGTTGTTCGAATTTTGTTTGCGGACGTCTTAGTGTTAGCGTCTCCGCACCATAGGTTAGAACCGGCAGCACACATTGATCGAACACTTTTCTCTTCAAGCAGATGGGAAGAGCTGATTGGAAAACATCTCTTAGCTTTCCATAAGCTGCCCATGTCAACCCTATTCTACGTATTAGTTCATTGGTCTGGTTATCTCTACTTAAGCGAATTTCGTGTCCCAGATATTTGTATGCTGATGTTTGTTCTATACTTGTTCCAGCTATGTTGATGTTCTCACTCAGAACAAGGTTTGTCATCACTTGTGTTTTTGAGTTATTGATCTTTAAACCCACTTGTGTAGAGGCATGGTAGAGTCTTTCGCACATTTCGATGGCATGATC